AATTAAACAGCAGCTGCAGAAGGCACTTCATTCCTGCCTCTTCAGCTAAAGCTTACTCCTGTGTGCATGGGGTTTAGAAAGTTCACAGTGAGACGTGGCACCAAGTGTTCCTTTAATTAATAACAGCAAAGGACACTTGCCACGAAGTGTCCCATGACTCCCCCCGCCCTAGACAGAATGAAATTTCGCAATCAAAATCTGTGATTGTTTATCCAGTATATTGCTCACTTTTGAATTGAGTATATTACATAATAAGGCCTCAAGTTAGCTTTCTCTTCTCAAAATTGGCAGTTTTCAACATGACTTTTGAAATAATTTTCTGCCAGGAAATGCTAGCATTCTTGGTATGTGATGTGAAAAGACAATTGAGTCAGGAGTTAGTTTAAGTAAAATACAGCATCATGCTATGGTGCCTGGCTTCTCCCTGAGTTCTGGAGATCCCAGCTCAGCTCTTCTGCTTGTACAGCAAACGCTCTACCCACTGAGCATCTCCCTGGCTCTAAGTCTGTAATTGTAAGGAGTACTATGTAGTAATCTAAGTAACTGTTTGTTTATTATTATGTACTATAATTTTGTATTTGAATTTTTTTATGGTATGTCTTTTCTATGTTGACAATGTTAAACATTATTTTCACTTTTTTAAAAAATGAGGATTGTTTCTGATTTCTCAGACTTTTTTGTTTGGTCTCTGTTTTTCACATTGCAAACTTTCTTCAAATGTTTGGTGACTCTGTGATGTGCAATCTGTTTGGACTCTGGGGAAAGAAAGGTCCCTGGAAGCTCTTATATCTGAGGGTGGACTGGGGACTTGGGAACCTTCTTTGCAGGAGGTGGCTGTGTCTCAGGCCTTCCATGGATTAGTCAGTCAGATGTAATTGAATACAACAGAAAAATTCACAGTAGCAGATGGTTAATAATACTAAAATTTATGTTTTCCTAGTGTAAGAACAGACTAGGTTTGATAGTCTGTGGCTTCTAGGATGACTCTATGCCACCAGGGTCTAGGTTTCTCAAGATCGAGCCACTGTGCCTGCAGGTAGCACATGAGGATGGAAGAAAGGCAATTCTTAACATCCTTTGAGAAACGCCACGCAATGTTTAGCCTGCACATTTTGAGTGGGAATTTGGGTCACGCCACACCTACCTGCAGGGAAGGCTACAAAGTCCAGGGTGTGTGCAATGGGAACACGGAAGCTGGGTTGCAAAGGAAGTGGAGAACGTCGGGCAGCCACCTGTAGATCTGCTTTCCTCAGACTGCTGCTTTTTTCCCGAGTTTCCGGCCATTGCTGTCTCCCAACAGAAACCCGCAGAAGGCATCTTTGATACTCTCCCTGCATCACCTCCCCCAGCACACCTCTGATTTGTGCAACTCACCCTCTTGTGACAAACTATGTCTTTCTGCCCTTGGGATGACATGGACTTGCCAGATCAGTTTGAAATACAGCTCAGAAGTGTAGGAATTAAACACCCCCAGAAACAATCCTCTCCACATCGGGGCTGGAAATGGCAAAGACTTCTCCTGCCTCCAGTATTCTGTGGGATTCTCAGGAGGTCCTGGTGGAAGCAAGGGCCGGACGCTCACAGAAGAAATCTTCGTGACCTGTACTGTACTGGCATCTCCTACTTTCACACCTCACTGCACAGGCTGTCTCCTCTTACTCCTGGAATAACTGCACCAAGGTCTTCACTTAGGGGTTGCTTTTAAATAAACACAAAATAAATGCAGAGGAATCTCATAATGTAAAGTCTAAGCTCAGCTTCTTTCATCTCTTGTGCTCACACAAATGTGACAGCTAGAAAATGCCTGTGACTCTGAAATACAGCTAACAAAACAGCAGGAAATGAGTTCTCATCTCAAAATGTAAAAATGATGTTTGAGTCAGCAATATGTCAAGACCAGCTCACAGAAGTAGCAGATGTCAGGCAAAAGTGTACCTCTTGCTTTTATGTCTTCAAAAACTGTCGTATCAAGATGTTTTAGAAATAGGGCACCTGACATTGACTGTTTTGACAGTGGAAGAGGTAGCTTATGTGTTTTCTGCACTTACTGGTTTGGCTTCTCAAAGGAGAGAGCAGGGAGAAGCGGGAGAGGAAGTGGGCCTCTCCTTCTGTGGCTGCACTGGGAAGCTACCTCAGAGTCCTCAGCAGGTAGCTTCTGTGTTGGTTTCTTTTCTTTTCTTTTTTTTTTTCCTTTTTGATTTTTAACATTTTAGCATTTTTCCTCCCCATTCTTTTTTTTTCTTTTTTTTTTTTTTTTTTAATTTATTTTGCAATACAATTGCATGAGTTGGCTGTTTGAAACCTGGGGCCTATGCAGGATTGTTTGGCTCGGCCTGGGAGGAGGGGACTAGACCTACCTGGACTGAGGCTACCAGGTTGACCTCAGTCTGTGGGGAAGGCTTTGCCCTGGAGGAGATGGGAATGGGGGGGGGGGGGTTGGGGGGAAGGTGAGGGGGACGGGAGGGGGGAGAACAAGGGAAACCGTGGTTTCTTTTCTTAAGCACAGATGTCAACGCACCTGAACTTGATGGTGGCTTTTTTGTCTTTGTTATTGCTATGCATTGTTTTGTTTTTAATCCTGCTACCAGGAATTGAACCTAGGACCTCATGTGTGCCAGTTAAGAACTACTACTCAGCAACATGCCTCAGTGGTTCCAAGTGCTGATGCCCTGTGTTGGCTTTCTAGGGCTTCTCAAACAAAGGAACACATATTCTGCAGAGTAGAAAAACAAATTTATTTTTTCACAAAAGCCAGAAACCCCAAGTCAGCAAGTGCCTTGGTACCAGGATCTGCTTGCTGAAAAGAGTGGTCCCTTCCTGGCCCCTTCCTACCTGCCACTGGCTGGGGAAGTATTGGCAAGCAGCCTTACAAATGCATCCTTCAGTCTCTGGTTCTCTTTGCTTGGTCTCTTCCAATGTGTGGCTTTGCCTCTGGTGATTTTTTCCCAACCCCCTCAGAATCATACATGTTAGGTAAACGCTTTACCTCTGCATTATATGTACATCCCTGTGCTGTGGGATGGTCTGTATGTCAAATGTGTTGCTGATTGGTGAATAAATAAATCACTGATGGGCCCGTGGCCAGGCAGGAAGTATAGGCAGGACAAGGAGGAGAATAGAGCTGGGAAGTGGAAGGCTGAGTCAGAGAGACACTGCCAGCCGCCATCAGGACAAGGAAGATGTAAAGTACCGGTAAGCCACAAGCCATGTGGCAAGGTATAGATTAATAGAAATGGATTAATTTAAGCTGTAAGAACAGTTAGCAAGAAGCCTGCCATGGCCATACAGTTTGAAACCAATATAAGTCTCTGTGTTTACTTGGTTAGGTCTGAGCGGTTGTGGGACTGGCAGGTGAGAGAGATTTGTCCTGACTGTGGGCCAGGCAGGAAAACTCAACCTACAAATGGCGTCCAACGTGGTGGCAAGAGTTTCTACCTAAAACCTGAGAAAAAAGATTCTAAAACGGAGCTAAAAACAGTTCCTAGTTGTCTCTTTCAAGTTAGCGGCAGCCTGCCGGTTTGAGCTACTTGTGGGTTCCTAGCGTGCTTGACCTGCAGTATGGCGGGAATGAGGCCTCTGCAAGTGGCACATTAAGTTACATGGTGGATTTAGCCTTTGCTAGTACAAAACAAAAAAAAAAAAAGAGATTTCTGGGCTACACGCTGCTTTGATAGAAGCATAGACCCACTATTTCTGAGAGTTGATGGCTCCCAGAGCTGGCAGAAAACGTATCACCGCCATGTTGGGAAGCTGAAATGGGCGGAGCCAGCAGCGCCAGTGCCGTTTCAGGCTTAGAAGGCTACAGTTCAAAGCAATAGGCTCAAGTTAATATAAAAAAATAAGCCACGTAAAGATGGCTACCACACAGAGAATCTGGATTATGTTCTCTTTGATATTCGTAACTGAAAAAAAAACATTTGATTACAAAAACTGTTGAGTTATGCCAAAATGTATATTTTAAAGGTACCTTGACTTCAAAATTTGGATGTAAGGATATGTTGCTTTGGAAAGGAGGCTCTGCTTTTGTTTCCACAGAAAGCCAGAGGCCATGGATTTGTTCCAGATTAAGATACATCAGGTTTGACCAGCCAAGACCCCCTGAAAGGTCTCCGATGACACCATGGCCCAGATGATCCAACATCCAGAACTGTTTCAAGGCAACTGGCTCAGACGATACACCCTCACAGACTACTCCATAGTTCTAAAATTTTCTTTGTGTCCCCATAAGATACAGCGCCCCCCTCCAGCAGGAAGTAGTAAGAGAAGCTACGCCCAAATTCCCAAATATACCAAGCTGACTTTGGAAATATGTAAAGGTTAAAACCTTCCTTTTTAAGAAAAGAAAAGGGGAAGTGCTGTGGGATGGTCTGTATGTCAAATGTGTTGCTGATTGGTGAATAAATAAATCACTGATTGGCCCGTGGCCAGGCAGGAAGTATGGGCAGGACAAGGAGAAGAATAGAGCTGGGAAGTGGAAGGCTGAGTCAGAGAGACACTGCCAGCCACCATCAGGACAAGGAAGATGTAAAGTACCGGTAAGCCACAAGCCACGTGGCAAGGTATAGATTAATAGAAATGGATTAATTTAAGCTGTAAGAACAGTTAGCAAGAAGCCTGCCATGGCCATACAGTTTGAAACCAATATAAGTCTCTGTGTTTACTTGGTCGGGTCTGAGCGGTTGTGGGACTGGCAGGTGAGAGAGATTTGTCCTGACTGTGGGCCAGGCAGGAAAACTCAACCTACATCCCTGCCCCCTTTCTATAAGGACACACGTGGGTTTAGGGCTCACCCGAATCCGCTGTAAAGCCATCTTGTCCCTTACACACAATTAATTCTATCTGCAAAGACTCCAATTCCAGATAAACATCTGGGGTTAAGATTTTAATGTGTTTTTTTTCTTTCTTAGCATGACGAAGGACATGATTCAAGCCACAAAATGTATTCTCTCAGAGGAGGAAATAATAGCATGTTTTCTGTAAAGAAGAGGGGTAATCTCTATGCCGTTTATAATCCTATGTGCAATCAAAATCCATTACTAGATTCTACATTTGAAGAGCTTTAGGAATACTAGGAGTCAGATATCCAAGTGGTAAAACACAAGGTTTAGGAGGCGGAAGGGCAGATAATGAAAGAGTGTGGATAAAGCTGATGAGTGGTTTGCTGTCTCTTTGTTGTGTGTTAACTAGCCAGGCCTGGGATGTGCAGAAGGAATCCGCCTCTGTGGAGAACAGGAGGTTACAAACACTCATTCTTTCAGGACGGCTGCAGCGTTGGTCGCAGTTGAGGGAAGTGAGCAGGACACAGGATGAATACACAGGCTGAGCTTCCCTCTTGTATCCGTAGATCAGGTGCAAGGACATTTGATTTTGTCTCAACTGATTGGACAGTTAAGCCATAAATTGCTTCTTGCAACTCTAGTGACACTGTGAGTGACAAGATTAAATGCAAAATATTGTGGTCCACTGAAGAAGAGGAGGAAGGCTGTAAGAAAGAGAAAACCCAAGTTAGCTTGGAGATCTCCGACATGTGAGCGAGTGTCCTGCCAAAGAGACCAAGTGGAATATACAAGCACAACTGTGTTATTTTACAAACTTAAACAATTTCGTTAACTTTTTTTTCTACTTACAGCCCTGTAGGAAAACTGCATCAACTCTGCAGTTTATTCCTGGGAATGCACTTGATATGCTTCTGGGGTAGCCTGGGTCCATAGATCCTCTGTTATTGTCATATCTAATGAGCAAAGCATCACACGATTAAAATGCAATACACATTCTTTTAATTTGTGTGTGTTACAAAGCATTCTCTATACATTTTCACACTAAATCTTCACTGTGCCCCACTCACTCTCTTACACATTTTCACACTAAGTCTTCACTGTGCCCCACTCACTCTCTTACACATTTTCACACTAAGTCTTCATTCTGCCCCACTCACTGAGATTAAGAATGCTTAACTTCTCTACCTAACGGTGTTTTGTTTTAAAACACATGGGAATCACTGATTCTTAAAACAGCATTCTGATTGCCAATTAGGGTTATTTCCCAAAACTAGAGGTTACATTTTCTAAATATTTTACTTGCTTGATAAATTAAGAATAATCATGTGTATGTGTGTACATGTGTATATAATATAAATAAATGCATTGTTTTATTAATATTTTTAGTATGCAAAATAATAGTCCCAATTATGACCCTTTCACACATATACACCACTGTTCATTCCTATTCACATCTCCATTGCCCTCCCTTAGCCCCTCCCCTGTCCACTCCTTCCTGCAGAGAATCCCTCTTCTGTTTTCTTGTTATAATATCTTCCTCTTGTGCACCAAATTCTGCCAATGATTTGGAAAACATTCATTTGAGAACATCGGAACTCAACTCACAGTAAGAATCAACCCTCTTCTTTCTCTATATCCCTTCCTAGAGCTGTACGAGGGTGTAAACTTTTCATGATACAGTATCCTCAATACATTTGTGTAGGCATCTTAATGTGATAAAAATGAAAAATCCATGTTAAGACCACATCCTCACTAAGTCCATGTAGATTAACACATCTCCAGATGTTCATGTTGATGGTTTGTACACAGGGCAGAGAAACACAGATTTCAACATTAATGGAAAAACTCGCACATCTCACCTCCAGCATTGGTTGCTTATGAAGAAATACGTCTTCCCTCTGTAGGAGACAGCGGCATCAATGGCTCGGATGCTGCTTGGAAATCCGTAGTTGGATATGTCCCTGGGGTAACCTTGCTGAATGTCGTAGCCACTTAGCGCCCAGTACTGTCTGCCTGCCAACAATTCAAGAAACACCTTTAACAAAGCTCTTTCTTTCTACAATATAGTATCTTTGTGATAATAACTTTGTGATCCCCACAGTAGTGAAAATGGAACAGATAGTCTGAACAGCGAGAGCACAATGGCGGCTCTCATGGTTCCTCTCTGGAGCTGTAAAACATCAAACATTTCAACCTGTCGTTCAAGACCCCCAAACCAGATGTCTTGCCTGGTGTGACTTACGTATAGAGACTAAATCACAGCCTGGACTCATCTTAGAAAATAATGTCTAGCATGAGGGCAGAGAAATCCTGAAGATGGTCACATGAGTTGTATTTGCTGAGGACAGTACTAAGACCTAATGAGGGTCCAGCCTGTGCAAATTCACTCAGTCGTTTGTGACCATGGTGGGACCTAAGCCTGGACTCCTGACAAGAGTCTTCCTGGCTTGTACTTTCTGAAAGTGCGGGGCAGCGAGAAGTCCTGCCTTGCCCTTCAGGAAGACAAAAAGGAGAACATTACCTTTAAATAGGAAAACTAGGTCTCTATCGAAATCCTCATAAGCAGCCTGAAGGCCATTGGGCAGGAAAGGCCAGAATAGAGAGATGAAATTGAGGTCAACTTCTCTCAGCTGAGGATGCCGCCTCCAGAAGTACCTAAAGGAATAGAAGGACAAGGGATGGGGGAGGCAGGGGGAGGGAAAGAGTGTTACTTTCTGGGATGCTTAGCTACAAATGAGCCTTGCATGGTTTCCACAGTATTTATGTGTATAACATATGCATGATTTATGGTAGTGATGTTCATCTGGTGAGCCCTTGACAGATTCTGGAGGTCACAGGTGTGATCTTATTTGACCCCAGTTGGCATCATACCCTCTTCTTACTCTGACAAGCCTAACATAGGTAGGGCCTCTCAGTGTTTAATAGGCCCAATACTGAAAGAACCCAACCACGTCAGAAACGCTTGTGGATGTTTGATGCTTTGGTTTCCCCACCCTCTGGATGTCTTCTGACACCCAGAGAACACTAAGAATTTCAAGGATATGCCTATGTGTTGGGTCAAAAGGAAAGCCAAGTGACAAGTTAGCTTTAAGGTCTGAGAGACATATGCAAAGAAGGAACAGCTCAATTTTATACTTGTCTTTAAAGAAGTAAATCTCCCCACGGAGTGTGGTGACAGCATCAAATCTCAGGTGGGGATCACAGGCTGTGGGAGTGCTGGGTCCAGTAGGTTGGACAGGGCTGTTTGAAGGTCCTGGGAAATAAAGACATTTAATAAGTGTGAGTCAGTGCTGCTTTCGTGTGTGTTTCAAATATTTAGGAAGGTAAAGTGTTTTTTCATGAGGAAAAAGCCACTAGCCAATTCCACAAGACACAAGACTCTGTACCTGTGACCTTTTTAAAGGCTTGGTCTGTTATCTAGAGTAACATGGCTCCTACTTAAGCCGGAAAGTCGTTGGCGTTCTATGCTTCCTTCTGACTCTGAACCACCTTCCTCCGTCCTGCTTCCTCTTCCTGCCTTTTGCCATTGAGAATCCACTTCCTTGTTCCCCACAAGAACCCAAACACATGATAGGTCTCATATTAGTCCTTTCCCTAAAGCATAAATCAAGCTTAGTTTGTTTTTTATAAAAATTTGCATCTTGGCTGGACATGGTAGCTGGGGTGGATTGAAAGAAAATGGCCTCCAAAGAGAGTGGCACTGTTAGGAGGTGTGGTCTTGTTGGAGGAAGTGTGTCACTGTAAACATAGGCTCTTAGGTCTCATATATGCTCAGTGAGACAGTAAACTTCCTGTTGCCTGTAAGTTAAGGTGTAGGACACTTGGTTACTTCTCCAGCACCATGTCTGCCTGCACGCCACCATGTTGCACCATGATGATATTGGATTAAACCTCTGAACTGTAAGCGAGCCACCACAATTAAATATTTTTCCTTGATAAGAGTCACCATGGTCATGGTGTCTCTTCACAGCAGTAGAAACCCTAACTAAGACAGTAACACAGGCTTTGTCATTCTAGCACTGTGGATACTGAGGCAGGAGGATTGTAGGTTTGAGACTAGTCTGGACACAGAGTGAGTTAGACAATGTCTCAAAATATTAAATAAATACACAATAATTTACATCTTACTGAGTTTTCTCATTGTGGAATTAAGGACTGTACTTTTCACTAAGAAATACCAGGGTGCCAAGAGAATTTAAAATATTGCCAAGCAAAGGAAGTGACTGTTGGCATGTGGCTGGGGAATTGGGGGTTGAGTGAAATTTCTTATTCATAGAAATTCCGCCATGATGAGAAAATTCCCTGATATGATACCCATACTCTTGATTTATAGGGCAACCCCAAGAGGAGAGAGCATCCCTCCCCATCTCACTGCCTTTCACACTTTCAGGGAGCAGGAGGGCAAGAGGGAGGGGATGGCTCTCTCTCTGGTCCTCCCCCGCAAATCATACTTCACTGAACATTCTTGACAGGCCTTACACATGTCTGCTTAGGGATCTATGGGAGGGTTTCTTTAACAGTGGATTCTGGGAGGAGAGTTGCTGAATGAAAAGGGGTAATCATGTCTTTTCAGAATATATAAAATTGGAAAGCATAAAAATGGAGGAAGAAAATGTCCCTGCTATTTAGAGATAATTATGAGGAAGTACTTCTATATATTTCTCCAAGTTTTCCCTCCCACTCTCCCTTCCCTTCCTTTCTCTGCCTTCTTCCCTTTCTCCCTCCTTCCTCCCTCCCTCCTTCCTTCTTTTTTCCCTTCCTTCCTTCCACCCTCCCTCCTGCCTTCCTTCCTCCTTCCTTCCTTCCCTTTCTCTCCCCCCTCTTCCCTTTCTCACGACCATGTCCAAGACCATGTAGTCCAAGCTTGCTTCAAATTCCTGCTTCTCCTGCCTCAGACTCCTGAGTGCTGCTACTACAGATATGGGCCAACAGACTGTCCCCCACTCTTTCCTTTAAGGTAGTAACAGACATCTAATAACTAAAAACCAAGATGCAGGGAAATCACACCACAGGCTCAGTTCCACAGGATTCTTTTGCCAACACTACGCTACTGGTAACTTTCAGAGATCAATTTGAGTTTCCCTTGTGGATAGAATCCAGAGACTCCAAAGGAGAGACACTCGGATGCTTGACCTGTTGAGACCAGTTCCCAAGTGCTACTGCTTTCCACCATGTTGTCCACGGGATCTTACCGTAGAGTGTCTGAATGCCATTGATATCATCTTGAGGCAGTGAGTAGGTGCTGGGGTCACTGTAAGCGTAGTTTGGGTACATCAAGGCACCAGGATCAGTGGAGTGAGAGAGTCCAAGGGAATGGCCAAATTCATGAGCAGCCACGAGAAACAGGTTGTAATCTGAAATGCAAGACAACATGATAATGCTCTATCAGCTCCCTGGATGGTGAACATATAATCGCAGAGAATATGCCCCTGAGGCCAAAACTGCCCAAGAAGGAAACTTTCATATGTTTATCTCTCTCTCTTCTTTTTGTCTTTAGGTACCTAAAGAACAGCAATTAGGAGACATCAAGGTAGGCGCCATAAGCTTTTTACCAGGTCTCAGAGCTGACAAAATCTGTCTTTATTCCAACTCTCGCATTTTATGGATGTGGAAGGTTGGTGAAATGGTGGCAGAGCTGTGGATCTCAGGATAAGAAGAATCCTGTTTCTCTTGTACTCAGCATCCTCTGGCCCTCGGACTCATTAGTAGAATCTCCAAGGAGGATACAGGAAAGAGCTTGCCTTTTAGGGCAGCGGCTCAGGTGCAAGGCCGACTTGACTACAGGATCTGAATACACTATCCTCACCTTGTCCCGTCACTCAGGGACCCAGCACTTTTTGTAGGAGGCTCCTGGAAAGGACGTCTTGTTGCACAGACACACACTGCTGAAAAGGGAGCCACGGAAGAGCAGCTACTAGAAGTGAGGATGTGGCTGCTGCTCTCTGAACAGGCTAACTTCAAATGAACCCTGTGTTTCCAAAGATGCAAAGAACAGGCCTTTTAAACATTAAACTCAGAATATTAGAGAGGGAGGGGAAAGGGAGAGGGAGGGATGGAAGGAGAGAGAGAGAGAGAGAGAGAGAGAGAGAGAGAGAGAGAGAGAGAGAGAGAGAGAGAGATCACTAAAGCAAACTTTTTATGCCTTGGGACCTAGGTAGTCTCTGTCTCAACTACTCAGCTTGACCACCAGAGTGAGAGCTCCCAAAGATGTGTAACTCAACGAGTGTGGCCTCCCTCTGCAGCCTTGTGTGTACAGCCAGGGCCTGGGCAGGGTTTGGCCGTGGTTTGCTTGCTGACATTTGAATGCTCTTTCAGAAATCATGTGATAGAAAGTGAAACAATGTTGGGAGGTGATCCTGATGGGAGGGTTCATGCTGCTGGGAGGAGGGCCAGTGGCTTCAACTTCATTTCTTTTAGTCTCTCCTATCCTTCTACCATGTGAAGATGCATTAGGAAGAGCTTCAACCCCGGACTTTTCAGTCCCTTAACCAGCGGGGATGTAGGCTTCTCTCGTTCATCAGTTAGCTCATTTATCAACAACAGCAACACACGTGGATTTAGGCACTGGGTGGGAAATAAGGTCAATAATTAACTTTTGAGTTTTTTGTCTTGTTTTTCCAGACAGGGTTTCTCTGTGTAGTTCTGGCTGTCCTAGAACTTGCTTTGTAGACCAGGCTGGCCTTGAACTCAGAGATCCACCTGCCTCTGCCTCCCACGTGCTGGGATTAAAGATGTGCACCACCACCGCCTGGCTTGACTTTTTTAAACTCTAAGTTGGTTTATCTTTAAGTGACAAAAGTGTAAATGGTTAATTTGCATGTTTGAAATGCTATAATAATGTGAGTGGATGTGTATTTGTGAACACACATCTTGATTTAAGGCGGGAAAGGTGAATTTAGAAGCTGTATGTGGACCTAATCATGACCCACTTACTTCTGGAATCTTGAGTCCATGTTTCTTCTGAATCAAAATGTGCATCTCCTCCAATACCCTGACCTGGCTGAAAGGCATGGGCCAGGATCCCATTGGGTCCATCAAATGGAGAATTGTCACCGTGCTCTGAAATGAGAGTTTGTGGTTAAGCCTTTGCCTGCAGTCAGCCTCAGGTTAGCTAGGGAAAGCAAAATCCTTTGAGTCTACCTCTTGGGACAAAAGCAATGTTGATGTCTGCTTCTCCCTGTGAGATCTCAGTGAAGGTCAGGGGTGATGCCACACTCCAAACTCGAAAGGCTTTCTCAATTGCTGTTTCCACTGTGGCCTTTGACAGCTGTGAGGTATGGTTTATAATCCTTAAAAATGAGGAATAAGAATGGTTTGTTATTATGAGCAATGTCTTTGAACTACATAGTCACTCTATTTTGGAGTAAGTCACGTTTTCAACATGCTCCCACTTGGACAGAGCATCAGTGTCCATTCATAAGGTGAATATGATACATTTGGACCCCTCTCATAGGTGGCTGAGGGAATTCAATACACAGGAAGCACTTGGTGGCTTGACAAATAGTATCCACAAATACTACTATTATTGCTGTTACCAAGACATACAGAAGAGGGCCCTAGATTATCCCCAGCAAACAATAAGCCTCTTTTGGACTTAAAAGTGAATGACTATAGAGAGGCAGTCTTATGCTGCCATAGCGTTTCAGATGCTGAAGAAAGACAATGTGGTAAGCTTTACAGTTGAAAGACTCAGGGTCCTCGGCTTCCTCACCCTCATGCTTACTCCTCAGTTCATTCACTATCCACGCTCATTCACACTCTGCAAGGGCAGGGGCATTTGTCCATTCATCTGCAGTGGTTCTCACACTCTGCAACAACGTCTGAGCTTTCACAGACTCATCGCTAGCTGGGTGGATGAGTCTTTGGACTCTAGGACCGTCACCTGTAGGTCAGGTTAGTGTGTGTCCACTTGGGGCTTCCCGGAGTTAGCGTGAAGTCACCGGTGTCAGGCACTCCACAGCGAGGCTTCCCCATCATCTCCAGAGTAGTGGCATCTGCCTTCCCAGTCTCTGCCAAGCGGAAGAAGCGCTGCATTTCTCTCAGCTTCTCGGCAACCATGGAGCTGCTCCTCCTTGCAGACCGGAACTGAGTGATTGGTAAGTGGTAGAATTTTTGTAGGTAATTCTGATCAAAATAAACACAAGAATCTTTGCTGTGAAATCACCTTTAGTGCTCCAGGCATTTTGCAATTCTTTCTAAGTCACCACATAGTGCAAAACAGGGCCTGACAGACACAGGGACAATAACAGAAAGTGTAAACAGGGCACTTGGGTGACTCAGTGGGTAAAAGTGCCTGTCAAGCCAAGATCAGTCCTCAATACCCACATGGTAAAAGGTGAAAGCTGACTCTTTTAAGTTGTGTTCTGGTAAGTTGTGGCATGCAATACCCTCCACATATAAATAAGTACATTTAATTAAAATAAAGAAATTTGTAGATTGACTTTGAAAGAAAAATGCCTGTAGAATATTCCCTCCATTCATTAATCCAGCTACTTTTTATTGTTTTATTTTATTTTTTTTTTTGAGACAGGGTTTCTCTTTCAGTGTAGCTCTTGTTGTCCTGGAACTTTCTTTGTAGACCAGGCTGACTTCGAACTCACAGAGATCCACCTGCCTCTGCCTCCGAGTGCTGGGATTAAAGGTGTGGGCCACCACCACCTAGTTAGGATATAACTATCTTTTAGCATAAAAATTAAAGTCTTGCAACAGGGGAGCAATGAATTTGAATCACACACAAACAGATTGCCTTATTTTCATATAAAAAAATTAGTATTGGCTTTTTGTTCTTACGTCTGTTGAGGTGTTAATTGCAACAACTAGGATTCTTCTTTTTTTAAAAAAATCCTTTTTCACTAATGGAGAGAGGGTTTAGTCATTCTCACAGAGAAATGGAGATACCAAGAAGCAAGTGACATTTCAGGTCCTAGCTCACTGTGATACCTCTCAAATGAGAACTGATCATTTCAAAAGATGTTTGTGGTGACAGCAACATTTTGTTCACCAAGATAATGTTCTGTAAAAGGCCAGCTCCTATTGAGAATCACACACAGTTTGTGAGGGTGTAACGTGCCAGTAGATGGCAAGGGTCCTTCACCTTACCTGTGTGTACAGACTTCATGCTGCATGTGCCTGTCACCACTTGGTACTTTGGAGGTGACAGAGGCAGAGCTCATATTTTGGGATCTGACAGGTTTGAGCAAATCCTAGCACTGTCTTTTGTCTCTGACACGGAAAAAATCAGCTTTCTGTTACAGGGGTGTTGTGACGCGCTTAGAGGGTCAACTTCTGCAGAAAAATGAACCCACTCTGAGTATGAACTTAGGGGTTACTTGTGCCACTCACAAAGATTACCAAGAAAGAGCAAAAATGATGCTTTCCAGAGATTTCAAAACTAAGAAAATTATGCACAAGAATTTGGTGATCACATTCCTCACATAAAAACAAAAACAAGCAAGTAACTGACCTCACTATACCATGTGCTCATTTTAATTCCTTAAAACCCACTCCCGTCTCTATTCTGTCTTCTACACACGATAGTATTTTTGGCTGCAAAGAAATATCCATACAAGAATCAGTAGGCAGGTCATAGTTGGATGTCTCCCCGGCATTGTTTTTCCGTGTTGGGACACTAGCAAGCATTCTACCAGACTAGCACTGACCGATAGAGCATAGAACAACTGGATTACAGGGTTACTGGAAGAGAAAGACATTAGGTAAGAATTTCAGTTCAGTGTGTAAATAAAAATATTCTCTCTGAAAGGGTCTCAGCTGCAGGCAGCCCCACAGTAGTGGTCCCCAGACTAAAGCATCCAGCTTGTTTTCTTGTCTAGCTATTCCAGGGTCTGTTGTTGTCAGCTTGGAGTCCTCCAAGTCCCAGAAGGTGATGTTGAGCCTCAGCAAGGTCATCCAGAAAATCTCTTTCTGGCCATTTAGACCAAGAAGGGAAAGCCGCCCTCTGAATTCTGTAGCCATCAGGAAATCACCCATAATTAAGAGTTCATTTACCTCAACAGTTTTCGCATTTTTCTCTTCCAGGTCTTCAGGAGGTACTGGAAGGGCCTTGGCAAGCTGTGTGTGGAGGAAGAACAGAAACAGAAGCGTCTTCAGACAAAGCATGACCTTTTCTTCCAAAACAACCTCTCCTGCCTTCCTCTGCCACTCTGGCAAGTGTCCTGAAGCTCACAGCATCCCTTGCCAATCACTGCTCCTGTCTGGTCCCTTATAAAGCCACATCTTGAGCAACTGCTGCCTCAGCAGAGTGAAGCAACACAGCTAACCAGGCTCGGACAGTTCTGCAACGTTAGAATGTGATTTGGAACTGAAGAATGGGGTGATCCTTCCACAGAAGAAAAGAGTATGGGTGGTTACTGCAAGCAGCCAGGGGGACAGGGAGGTGGCTGAGGGCTCTAGGCTTCCATTTTCCTTCCATGTGTGACATGGATGCTGTACCACTCCAATCAAGGAAATTTTTAAAGAGTGTTCACAGACACTCTTCAGAACAAGCTGCGCACCGGCACGCCCTGACTCTAGTCCACCACTGCTGCCGTGAGTATGTCCCAGAGTGACTTGTCACAAAGCAGTCTTGGTGTGGGGACCACAAGCAGCTCCTGGAGATGGCTCAGTTAGTACAGTGTTCGCCACACAAGCACGAGGACCTGAATTTGACTCAGCATGCAGGTAAAAAGTTGGGTGTAGTAGTGCATGAGTGTCATGGGCGGTGTGTGCGTGGGGGGCGGGATTTCTGTGGCGTGTTAGCCAGCCAGTCTAATCTACTTGGTAAGTTCCAGGCTAGTGAGAGACCCTGTCACAAAACAAGCAAAACTCACATGACAGCATTTAAGGAATGGTGCTCAAGGCTGTCCTCTGGTCTCCACACATATGTGCATGAACATACATGCACACACAAAAACATGAACATGCACTTTTAAATGCACACATGCATAAACATACATAAACATTGGTTTCTGTAGGACAAAGCTTTGCCATCAATGTACCGAAACATTCATTATCTATAAGGAGGGTTTCTCCAGAGAAGGGACAAAGATTAGGATATTATTTTACAAACTAACATTTGTTGAATGTTTACAATGTTTCAGACATGTTCATGTCACCTAAAGTCCCTGTCTATTCTCACACAGCCTTCAGAGTGACATGATATTATTATCACTTTGCAGGAGAAGCAGAGGTTGGAAGACACATGACAGCCATAAGCTCAGTTTGTGGAGACTCAACCCCAAGGGTACTGTGAGAAAAGACAGCCCATCCTGTACCAGGCTCTGGTCCATCAAACCCCCCTTTGAAACCCAGGCTGGACCACCAGTACCCGAGGGGCTCACAGCAAGTAGAACACTGGCCTAGATTCATGGGTGAGGGGATAAGGGAGAGAATGAGAGGGAGCGAAGAAAGGGTCAGTGGAGACTCCCAGACAGGGCGGCTGCACAGCTCCGTCTCCACTCTTCTCTCTGCCCACCTGGCAGTCTACACAGGGTTCTGGGGATCCAACTCATGTCTTCATCTTCGCAAGACAAGAAGTACTTCACAGACTGTTTTCTTCTCAGCCCCTGAACTGAACTTTAAAAAGGCTTTAAAAATATACTTTACAGAGGTGTTTAGAACATAAGTGATCAGTTCCAATCTGTGATGAGCATAGCAAAGGAGAACCAGAGGCTCCATTTGCAAGTCTGAGCTCAAAGCAAGCATTTAGCCTTGTGTTTCTCCTACTGCCTTCTATTCCATTCCGAAAGGACTCCATTGTTTTCCTTATCCCTCTGCACATGGCAAAATTCCAGAGTTGGGACTGAGGTAGGGGTTTTATTACCTGAGTGTCTCCACAGGGCACCCAGGTGTTTCCCAGGGGAGCATTTTTATTTCTTTTGCTTTCTTTTTTATGTATATTTTGTTATTTACAACCTGGCCTCTGTTTCCCCTCCTTCCTCTCCTCTCAGTCCCCGACATCTCCCCTCTGTGGCCCGCTCCGTCCACTCCTCCCTCATTTCTATCCAGAGAACAGGCCTCCCTGGGTCCTTGCAAACACTTTGTTTTCTAGCTCTTGGGTGACCCCTACTGGCCGCAGGGAGTATGACTCCCTGTCCCTTCTCCCCGTCACTGCCTCCCTCACTCCCTCTCTAGTGTTCTCTTCTCTTCTAAGCCCTCCTGTCTTCCTCTCTCCCTCTCTTTCTCTTTCCATTTCTCTCATCTCCTCTCTCTCCTTTATTGGATTGTCACAAAGGACATTACAAAGGACACAGACGCAGGGACCCACGGAGAGGAGCAGGAAAGGCACACGGTTCTCTTAAGCCTACTCAGGCACCCATCTTCTCCTTTTTTTCTTTTCTTTTTTAAAATTTTTTGAGACAGGGTTTCTCTGTGTAGCCCTGCCTGGCTTGGAACTAACTCTGTAGACCAGGCTGGCCTTGAACTCATAAAGATCTGCCTGCCTCTGCCTCCCAAGTGCAGGGATTAAAAGCGTGCGCCACCACTGCCTGCCCATCTTCTCCTTTTCAATAGAGACTTAGTTGCATAGACAGAATTGCTAACAGATTGTGTGGGAAAACTCAGCAAACCTTGTCTATCTAGACTCCGCTTGTCCCCAGTATTTGTTTACGTTGTGTGAAGATGTGTCACTGTGGCTGGTTTAATAAAGAGATGAGTGGTCACAGTTATGCAGGAAAGAAGAGGCAGGATTTCTGGGGAGATGGATAGAGAGCTCTGGGAAGAAGGGAAGCAAGGAGACAGCAGAGAGACGTGGGACGAGTTGCACACACAGAATGATGGAGAGGTAAAAAAGGCACGTGGCAGAGCGTAGATTAACAAATATGGGTTAATTAAGTTATAAGAGCTAGTTGGAAACACCCTAAGCCACAGGCCAAACTTTCATAATTAATAAGAAGTCTCTGTGTTGTTATTTGCTGACTGATGGTCCCAACGAGGAAGTCTAACTCCAATGTGTCGCACATGCCTGTGGATTATGGAGCAGGACTGCTCAGGAATGAGAGGTCCTGCCAGAGGATTTCTCTATGGCCAGCTCCAGGGTGAAAGGAGGAAGGAGAGTGGGGTTTCTGGGACCTGTCTTGGGGAAGAGACATTCTAATTAAACTGTCCTGGGCAGAAATGAGCCAGGAACTGTGAAAACTCTGTCTCTCTGTGTCTGTCTGTCTGTCTGTCTGTCTGTCTGTCTGTCTCTCTCTCTCTCTCTCTCTCTCTCTCTCTCTCTCTCTCTCATATCTTCAAGTGTGTTTCTATGAACGGAAAAGTTTCTTTTTTTTGCCAGCCTTGGAAACAATGGTTCTCTCCCAGAGGCCCCAATTTAGTATAAAATTAAAAGACTATTTCTGTAGATGTAGGTAGAAAGTATATAGACATGTTATGTTTTTCTTTCAGTACCAGCTGCAGTGACACACAGACATTTAGAGATTGCTCAAGGTTGTGTTGTGTTTTCCTCTGCAGCTTTCATTTAGCACAGCGATGGGCAGATGTACATTGTTGATAACCCTTCCTATTTCCCAGTGGGAAACATGGCTTGTCAGGGTTTGTAGGGCAATCTGTTAGGAAAAAAGCACACATCTTGAGTTTGCTTTACAAACTGAGATACATCCACGGAGAAATGGGCGAGGTCTCTTATGTGGTGGGCACCGTCACAGGCATGCACCATCTAACCAGCTCTGCCCTTCTGCCCTCAGTTTAATTTGAAAACTCTTTGCGTCTTCCATACCTTCAGAACAATGCTTCCATCAGCACATCCAGCTGGTCATGGGACGTAGCCCGGCCACCTTGCATTGGTGTAGATACCGTCCTGAAGATTACTGCTATGTGTTAAATTTCATTAGTGGAACACTTCACAACTACTTTGCGTAATCGTCTAAGACCCCTATTCCCATTTTGTGACCCTCCTCAACCTCATGTGAGACTTTGTGGTCATTAAGCTGTTAATGGGAGACTCTAACAACTCTGTGGAAGGGTTTTTCAGGTGCATATTTCTCACACACACACACCCTCCAGGTATCTAGTCACTCTGACCCTCCTTCAGCAGAAATCTTACCATTTCTTCAGAAGCACAGTATGAAATTTGGCCAGAAATCTGGGTTCCCACACACTGACACTCACAGTGCTTCTTGGCTGTAACTACCCTCCAGCATTTGGTGTTCACAGTGACACCCAGGATGGGTCTACAGTCACATCTCTTGTTTTTACTGTTGAAATACTTCTTGACTAAAAAACTGTTTTTTCCTAACTACTGGCCAAGCTGGGGAACAGTGGGTGGTGGTCTCCCAGTAGTTGATACACAATGCTGGGTTTCATTATGATAGTCTCGTCCTTTGCTTCCTCACTACCCTCCACTGGTTCTCTTTGACAGAGGACTGATTGAGCTGCTGGCTTCCAGAATTCCAGAATCCTACTATTGTTCATGCCAGTGGGGTCCCACAGGCATAAGCTGTCAGAGCTCAGACTAGCCAGGCCCAAAGGACTGCCTTTCCCTGCGCCCCTCTGCTCTTCAGTCATAGTGTAACCTCCATTCTCCTCTCTCTTTCTATTGTCAGGGGATTTCTCTCCCAGATTCATTTAGAATAGAACTTTTGTACTTCCCATTTATTTTCATTTCCCACTTAGGGTGCCCATATGACACCCAGGAGGTGAGTTGCTTAGCACTGACTAGAGAGGTAATATGGTAGACAGTTCTGCTGCTGTTGAAGCATTCACTAGAGAGGTAATATGGTAGACAGTCCCGCTGCTGTTGAAGCGTTGACTAAGAAGTAATATGGTAGACAGTCCCGCTGCTGTTGAAGTGTTGACTAGAGAGGTAATATGGTAGACAGTCCCGCTGCTGTTGAAGCATTGACTAAGAGGTAATATGGTAGACAGTCCCGCTGCTGTTGAAGCGTTCACTGGAGAGGTAATATGGTAGACAGTCCCGCTGCTGTTGAAGCGTTGACTAAGAGGTAATATGGTAGACAGTCCCGCTGCTGTTGAAGTGTTGACTAAGAGGTAATATGGTAGACAGTCCCACTGCTGTTGAAGCGTTGACTAAGAGGTAATATGGTAGACAGTCCCGCTGCTGTTGAAGTGTTGACTAGAGAGGTAATATGGTAGACAGTCCCGCTGCTGTTGAAGCGTTGACT